TTCCTCTAACATTTAGCAAAGGTTCTGTCTCGATGCCATGCACAAAACAATCTCTGCACCCTTCCCTAGTATTGTGTAGCACTACTTTGTGCCCGGACTACTTTTGACTACGGGGTTCGCCCATGAATACTGTGTTGTGCGGCCTCAAGGACTCTCAGGCCGCCGCCATCTTTGTCACCTTTGACCTGACAGGGGGACCGTCCATTATAAAAGGGGAGGGGTGTAAGTTTTCCACACAGCAAAAGTTGCAGTATAAAACACAGCAAAAGTTGCAGTGTAACACACCAAAAGTTGCAGTGTAAAACACCAAAAGTTGCAGTGTAAAAACACAGCAAAAGTTGCAGTGTAAAACACAGCAAAAGTTGCAGTGTAAAACACAGAAAAAGTTGCAGTGTAAAACACCCAAAGTTGCAGTGTAAAACACCAAAAGTTGCGGTGTAAAATTTTGTACTTGTCGGCCACGGTAGTTTACATTCTGGTAGTTCTGGTACATTCTGTGTTTTGATAACTTACGCTACACTGATTTAACTCTACGGATGACATCCGCACGCGTATTAATTTTTGCGTGCTCTCAAAAAAATCACGTCCTCCGACACTGGCCTGGGTGCCATCCAGCGCAGTCCATAGTAGCTAGCGACAATAGGGAGCCGGCGGTAACTACGGAGGATGACACCCAGGCTTCCGAGGCTCCACAGAAGTCAGTACAGTGCCGACTCGTAATTGGCGCAAAAGGCCAGTATGTACAGGCTTGTCGTGAAAGTTGCTATGTACTACCGCAAATTCACAATACCAGCTTTGTATTCCTGTTGGTGGTCTTTGTCTGTAAAATTAAGTCAGTTTGGCCTTATGAGAAAACGCTTTCTTTGTTGGTATATATTTTTACTGGTAAGAGGTTTTGTTGATTCTCTTACAGGTGACAAAATGAGCTAGAAGGGCGTAAAAGTTTTTTTTACCTTTTTATTAGATTTCTTACTTGTTATCGGGGTGTATGTGTTAGGTAATTTGAGCACCAGAATGTGATACATTATTGAGCGTTGAGCACAAAAAATTACTAGCATTACCTTTTGTCTTACTTTATCTACTACTGGAAACTGTTCTGTATCAGATAAAGATACGGGGGGTACAGAATTAAGCTGCAAGATTCTGCATGAACAACTAAAAACCTATACGTTGGGTGTCACTTGAAGGCAGACAGAAGTCCAGACTATGCATGATGAACAAATGACTATTAAACTGGTGGACGGGCCAAATACTGAATACCTAACACCAGCTCAGAAAAGAACAAGAAATAGTCATGCTGTCAAGTACCATAGTTATCAACCAAGGATTGAGTTCTTTAAAAAAATTAATTCTTTCCTAGATTTTCTAGAACAATCCCAGAGGGCATCATCATTAGATAGCTTTAAACAATGTTAAGAGTTAGATATTGAAGGGTTAGGTTTAAGTCGTATGAATTCGGTTTAATGTAGCCAGCTGCCGCTGCAGCGCGTGCTTGCAAAGCTGGCGTGTTACGCCGAAGGGCGGTTATACCGGCTATATACCAGTACAGATATTACAGCTCATCACAGTCATTTTCACCATGGCGGACGTTCTGTTGACCCGACTGCGAACAGTCAATTACAAATGTGAATGTAGAATGTAAATTTGTTACAAGCGGTGAAATCTTTATATACTCCTGGCCGGAAAAACAGCTAAAGCCTGTGGATAAAACGTCGACTTCGCCTAATGTAAGTACAAGTTTTTAACGTACGTGTGTAAGGCCAGGGCACATTTACATACGCCGTGCGACCTCCGGGCGACCGCAGATAGATTTCTTGAGATGTGTGTGAGTCGTGTGTCATATGTCGTCCAAATTTCACCTGTACCTGTCTTAAGCTTGGTTTTTGAGATAGTCGTGTGTGTCCTCCAAATTTTACCTGTACCTGTCTTAAGCTTTTTTTGAGATAGTCGTGCGTGTCCTCCAAATTTCACCTGTACCTGTCTTGTTTTTTGAGATAGTCATGTGTGTCCTCCAAAATTTCACCTGTACCTGTCTAAAGCTTGGTTTTTGAGATAGTCGTGTGAGTCCTCCAAATTTCACCTGTACCTGTCTTAAGCTTGTTTTTTTAGATAGTCGTGTGTGTCCTCCAAATTTCACCTGTACCTGTCTTGTTTTTTGCGGATAGACGTGTGATTCCTGCAAATGTCACCTGTACCTGTCTTGTTTCTTGAGATAGTCACGTATGTCCTCCAAAATTTCACCTGTACCTGTCTTAAGCTTGGTTTTTGAGATAGTCATGTGATTCCTCCAAATTTCACCTGTACCTGTTTTTTTAGATAGTTGTGTGAGTCCTCCAAATTTCACCTGTACCTGTTTTTTAGATAGTCGTGTGAGTCCTCCAAATTTCACCTGTACCTGTCTTAAGCTTGGTTTTTGAGATAGTCGTGTGTGTCCTCCAAATTTCACCTGTACCTGTCTTGTTTTTTTTAAATAGTCGTGTGAGTTCTCCAAATTTCACCAGTACCTGTTTTTTAGCTAGTCGTGTGATTCCTCCGAATTTAACCTGTACCTGTCTTGTTTTTTATATAGATTTTCCACACTGAAGATCCAATACTGCACCTATCACCGAAACATCTGCTTGGAGATTAGCCATCCCAACTAGCTGGACAATAGGCCACAGCAAAAAAAGTGAAAGGTGAAAAACTGCTATAGGACAAAAGTCGCGTCTTATCTTTTCTTCTCTACTTCACATCTTCAGTCGTTCATTATGATCCAATTGATAGAAAAGGGGGCGTTGTTTTGTACGCCACCATCACACCAGAACAATAGGACACAACCAGATACAAAAGAGAAAAATCAACGCCTTCGGGCAAAAGTCAAGCGATCTACTTTCTTTATTTTCTTGACCTGATAGTATCTCACCATGATGACAGAAAAGGGGGCGTTGTTACAGAAAACAGAAAAAAAAAGAGAAAATAAACAGAGCGCAATTTTAGGGCCAATGCCCCCCAGTCCTTGGCTTCTTTGGTCGGACAGCATGACTTGATTGACAGAAAAGGGGGCCCGGGGCGTTGTTGCAGACGTTAGCAAATCAAGACAAAAAGTAGAGCCCAACTGAAGCCCAATTATACTAAACGTATAGGTGGTTAAACCTGTTCCCGGATCCCGGATGTAGAATTTGTTACAAGCGGTGAAATCTTTACATACTCCTGGCCGGAAAACAGCTATTAAAGCCTGTGGATAAAACGTCGACTTCGCCTAATGTAAGTACAAGTCTTTAATCCGAAGAAGCACAACTAGTACGTGTGTAAGGCCAGGGCACATTTACATACGCCGTGCGACCTCCGGGCGACCGCAGATAGATTTCTTGAGATAGTCGTGTGTCAAATTTCACCTGTACCTGTCTTAAGCTTGGTTTTTTAGATAGTCGTGTGAGTCCTCCAAATTTCACATGTACCTGTCTTAAGCTTGGTTTTTGAGATAGTCGTGTGTGTCCTCCAAATCTCACGTGTACCTGTTTTTTTAGATAGTCGTGTGTGTCCTCCAAATTTCACATGTACCTGTCTTGTTTTTTGAGATAGATGCTACGCTAATTACTGGGAGGCCTAGCACCAGTCTAGAAGAGCTAAAGGAATTAGCAAAAGACAGGAAGAAGTGGAGGGGACTGTTGAGGAAGAGACGAGTTCTGTGCGCAGGCCACTCGAATGACTAACTCGAGGAGACCTCAACAAGTACAACAAGTAAGTAGTACCTGTTTTTTTAAATAGTCGCGTGAATCCTCCAAACTTAAGCTTGTTTTTGAGATAGTCGTGTGTGTCCTCCAAAATTCACCAGTACCTGTTTTTTGAGAAAAAAAAAACTGTTTTTTTTTAAATGGGGCGTTGGTTCGGACGCCACCATCACATCAGGACAATAGGACACAACAAGATACAATAGAGAAAAATCAACGCCTTCGGGCAAAAGTCATGCGATCTACTTTCTTTGTTTTCTTGACCTGATAGTATCTTGTCGGACACCATGATGACAGAAAAGGGGGCGTTGTTACAAACGGAAAACATAGCGCAATTTCAGAGCCAATGCCCCCAGTCCTTGGCTTCTTTGGTCGGACAGCATGACTTGATTGACAAAAAGGGGGCCCGGGGCGTTTCATTTCATTTCATTTGTTTATTTTACCAGCAAAATACACTCAGGTTACATAAAAAAAACTGTTTTCAGGTAGTGCTGGGCATACAAAATACAAATAACTGACAAACGTTATACATTGCAAGAAAAGACATAAACCAAAATGACATACAACAAAGGAACTCACTCATTTTTCACTATACATTCATAATATCACAATTCCTGACTGAATTGTACCATCCCCACTGTCTGACGTTGTTTAAGTTGTTGCAGACGTGAACAAAACAAGACAAAAAAGTAGTGCACAATTGAAGACCCAATGACCCCCAGTCCTTGGCATCTTGTTCGGACAATATATTTAATACGACTTGATTGACAAAAAAAAGGGCAGTGGCCCAAGATGAAAACAACAAGATGAAAGCCCCTGTTGCACATTCAGGGCCCTCCTTCGGCCTTACTCCCAACAATGCAAGCTCAGCGGTGTTACCGTGGGTTTAGACAAGTGTTGTTCTACATGTAGGTCCAGTTCACTCCTCTGTTTGCACTCAAGCAGAAAGATGACTATTCTGACCTCTTTTTTTTAATTTATAGCCGGTTAATTGGCAAGATTCCTTTTAAAGACTAGTAAATACGACCTCGACCAAATACTCCCCCATGGCGTCAATGACAAGCGATTTTCATGTCGATTTGAGCTTATCATCATTGAAGAATGGTTCAAGCAATCAAACGAACTCTCAACCAAGTTGAACGATTTCTTTGTTTACGACTTATCCCCAACCGTCGTCTTGAAAATGTCGGGAGACCATGATCGGCTATATCTGATAGGAGATTTATGGAAGGCTTTTGCCGCACAAAATTGGTGGGGTGGAAACACCTACTGGGTAGACACCACGATTGTAGTGCCTAGTTGATACCTTTGAAAGTCATTTTTCTCTTTAAAGTTTTGGTCCATTTTGGAGATTGTTGGGCTCGAAGGCACATGCAGGGTCTAAACTTTCCTACTTTGGTCAAATTTTGTTTATCTTAACCAGTTTAGTGGGCGTAATGAGAGATGTGAGTGGCCTGTGCGGATGGATACCATGAAAAAGTAGGTCAAAGGTGAGGTTTGTTAGCTATCATCAGCTGAGGCGGGAATTTGACCTGGTCGATCCCCTATTTCCTTTCTATATTTGGGAAGCAGACCCTTGTGGCTACCTGGTGCAGAAGAATTTTTGAGATTGAAGTATGGGAAAGTATTTTCATGAGGACTTCTAATAATATGTTTAAGCATGTGTTCCTATGGCCAAATCTAATAGTACTGTCTGCCCTACTGTTAGCATACACATGTAGTCTGTATGCCAGACTACTTCCGGGGTACAAAGGTCAGCGTGTGGAGTAAAAAATAAAAACTTTATTACATAACAAATGCACCAATGGATTTTGGTCATAAAGGAAGTCATTAAAACATAGATTTCAGCGTTTCTGAGTATTAATGAGGGATCCGTAAGATTTACACTACAAAAGCATTCCTCATTTCATGAATTCTACATCCAACACTCGAGCATATAAAATAACTAGAAACCATACCATCAACAATACGTCCTCATGAGCGATAACCCATTGCAATATCCAATCTCAATTTACAACTTGAGCATTCGTTTTGTATCGATTAGGCCATGTTGATTTGATTATATGGATGACATCCTCTGGGAACCCCAAAACTGATGCGCGCGTGCGAATAAAAACAAAGTTTTGAAAAAAAAAGTTGCTTTCATTATGAAATCTGCGTGGTCATGAAGGTTGAAAAAATGACACAGAGTATGGTTTGGTGAATAATCTACTCTTTTAATTCATTTCTCTTTACATTTTCGTCTTTTTTGTTTGATTTTGGCATTTTGCGACATTGGTATCATTTTTTAATATTCTTTTTGTAACTTACGGTATATATTTGCTCATTTTGCAACTGTTTTGTACGATTTACAGTATGGTTGAAAACTTTTTTTTTTGAAACCGCTGAAAATTCATGCGCGCGCGGATGTCATCCATATAATCAAATCAACATGGCCTTACTTAAGTCGGACTCACTGAAGCAGAACTCACCCGACCGGTACAGACAATCAGCAACACTCCCTCCACACCCATAAAATGATGTATTTTTTGTTGTTAATCCTCCTTATAGAATATTTTCATCATTTATATATATATAGGTGGACAATAGTAAGTTTTTTTTGTCTCCGTCTGTAGTCAAGAAAGAAGTCAAACCTAGAAGATTTAGAAGTTACTGTAGTTTTTCAAACTTTATTGTTGTTCATAAAGCATAAAGTACAAGTACACAAGTGCACACTAGTAACATAATATGTAGTGATTGCAATTTTTAATACGTTTCTTACTAAACATTCGACTTTAAACAGCAAGGTTATATCCATTCAAGTTACAGTAGTTTGTATTTCTTGTGTTCTAGTTATCCATCATGTGGAATTAGCCATCGATAAACAATTACTAAAATTATCTATATTGTAGATAGAGTCCCATGACAGTTGGACTACTGCAAGGAGAGCGACACTACAGAGGCAGGGACATGAGCTGTGGTAAGTTTAGTGCCTATTTCTTTTTTAAATATCATTGAAAATATGAAAGCAATCGTTTCTACACAGTATTGTACTTATCAAAGTTTGGCTCCTTCGAATTCTTTAAGCAGTTGTGCACGTGCGTGTCTGTTTCCGTTTAAAACAAATTTGCTAGTAAATATTTTAGTCGCCAGAGTCAGTATACCAGTACCGTTTTCATGCAGGCAACAGTATGTGGCGGATTCCGTGTGTGTGTGTGTGTGTGTGTGTGTGTGTGTGTGTGTGTGTGTGTGTGTTGTGTGTGTGTTGTTGTGTGTGTGTGGGGGGGGGTGCGTACGCGTGTGCCTGTGAAGCTGTTGTGTAACACCGAGGGGCGGTTATACGGATACACGGAGAAAGATACAGTATGTGCGATTGCCGTAATTTTGCTCTGAAATTGCATTGTATGCTTTAAGTCTTACATTTTTCACAGATATAGTCCAGAGGACCACATTTGCGTCATAGTCGTTCCCATAATGCTGTCAACTGTGGAGGAGAAGGATCTCGAAGAAGAGGCCATTGACTCCAGAAAGGCATCTCTTAAAGCGGCAAGGGGACCTCTGCTCTCTCTGGGTGCAACGGTTCTCTTCGCCATATCATCGGAATTTACGGCCCTCAGTAGCATAGACGGAATCCCGGGTTTCCATTTGGTATTTTTTATGAGACTGAGCCAGTTTCTCATAGTTTTAGTTTGCGTTATAATCTTTCGTCCAAAATTGATAGGTAAAAACAAACACCAGAATGGTTTATTGTTTCTTGAAGTTGTTGTTAACAACGTCGCTACCACCCTGATGTATTTTTCCTTCACCTATGCTTCTCCAGGGATCGCGTTTGGCATCATTCAAGGGTCCATGCCCTTGTTTACGGCCTGTTTTGGGTTTATATTCTTAAAGGAAAAAATTGGCCTAATACCGATCTGCGGGATCCTAATCAGCATCATCGGGGTGATTCTAGTCAGCATCGGGATGGCCCACCAGTCTGTGGGCCCCACAAATGCAATGGCCGTGTCCATTCTCCTGCCGCTGGCTGCTGCCTTCAGCAAAGGACCAGATATGGTTCTTTGTCGAGCCATCCTGAAGGACATGTCAGGCATCACAATGCTGTTATACATAACATTACCGGGAACAGTAGCTCAGCTCATACTAACTTACTCATTTGAGACCCCGGTCTGGGTGATGTCAGCAAAGACAGCAGGGTACATAGCCGGGCTGGGCTTGTCCCAAGCCGTGGCCATGTTGTTTTTCTTGGGAGTACTAAAAGTAGAGAAGGCAGCCATAGCTGTTGCACTGCGCGCACTTGTGATACCGCTCACCATTCTACTGGACTATCTCATCCTGTCGAAAGTGCCAAACGCTATCAAATGGGGGGGTTTGTCTCTAGTCATACTTGGAACATTGGGGCTTGGCATCTATATTTGGTGGTCACATAAACAGAAAGAAAAACGGAAGACTTTATTAAAAAAGATGGATTTCGACCAGCTGATAGATGACACTGACTAAATTTTTCAAAGAGGTCCTTGTGTAGTCTACTGGTATTATCGACATAATATTATTTTTTTTATTACAACTTTATCATTTACATATTATACATGTAAACAGGTCATGAGAAACAGGAATGCCCTTTAGACTCCCTGACCAAAATTAACAGTCCTTTTCAATAAATAATCCATATCAACAATGATAATAATTGTAACAAAAAATTCTAATAACAATAAGTGTAACAAGTAGTAACAATAAGATGATACAGTAATGCAAAATGATAAAGTAATGTACGATAATAAAGTAGCACAAAGACTTAAATGGTCAAAGAAGTATAATATTTATAATATAATAAATCACTGGTAACATTTCGACCAGAAAAAATAATTGAAACAATATTACCCTTAAAAAAACTGAAACAATACCAATAGTAAGGGCAAAAAATAATTATATTATAATAATAACAATTTCAAAAAAATGTATGAAGAATGAATGAATGACGGATTTAGGACAAGGCACAATTTTGGCATTGCCGCATTGCCATTGGCAGTGGGTGGCAGTGAGTTGTTAGAATCGAATTTGTTGTATATAAGATAATAATTATTATTGAAATGATCAAGTACAGCTTTTTTAAAGGTGAAGAGGGAGTCGGTGGGATAAGATTTTAAAAGTCTAGTAGACGAGCAAGTTATTCCAAATGTGAACAATTCTGTGAAAGAGATAGTAGTTGTGAAACATTTTTTTGGGTTGGAGCTTGGCCTGGGAGTTAGATCTTAAAGATGTATGTGGGAAGGTTATATAGAGCTGAATATCAATATCATATTGGCCTAAGAAGCACTTAAACATAAAGAACAAATCTAATTATTCTCTACGGTAAGATAGGGGTAAAAAAGCGCAGTCTGTCATTCTATCCGTGTATCCCATTGTTAATGATAGAAATTTTCTTAAGGGGTGGACCTAAGGTATCTCATAACAAATGTATGTGATGACTTTGCTGTTAGTTGCCCATGATTCTATTCGGAATGTAAATAACTTTACAGTCAACACAAGATAATGTCTGTAGAAGCAGTGAACATGAATATAAGTTATAACGTTAGATAAAGTGCATACCAATTTGGTGTTGTGGATCGAAAAAATGTGCACATTAGTAATAAAGATGTTACAAAGCACTTCAAATTCCAAACGTGTTTGTTTCCTTCTTGGTGTACCCCTGTCGTAGGTTTAATGTACATGGAGACATTGACTCAAAAATGGTGCATTCAAAAGTAGTAGTACGTATACCTTACAACGATGACTTCTGAATAAAATGTAAATTTGAAAACACTGTCTTTGATGGCAGCATAAATATAAATCAGGCCTGAGTAATTTTTCATTATACTGGTTGTTATGTACCACCATCAAAACATGCTGTACTGTGAGCTCTGACAAGCTATGTTGGACTGGGTGAAGAAGTTGTTAGTGACGGTAGGTTTCGACAATGCCTTCAACGCAGTATTTGCCTGAGAAAGTTTTTCAAATAATGTTATAGGCACCCAAAGCAATTCCAGGACAATTAAAATGGATTTTTAATTTTAAGCTCATCTTTTAAAGTAGTAAGTTAACTCAACCCTATGCAACAGTATACTGATGTCTGTAAAGAAAAATATCACTAACGGAAAACGGTTTCTTCTTTGGTATCGATATCGTAAGCTGGTTCTAGAACAAACTTAAAGGGACTCCTCACGTCGCTTGTTTTTGGACTGATTGTCTTATCCAGATTTTGTTTTGCTTTGCCGCCTTGAAATTACATGCATTGGATATCCTTGAGCTTTTAAAACAATGATGTTTTCTAACAATTTATGGCAGTGTTTGAAAGTAGAGTTTGTCCCGTGCCATTTTCTGTTCGATCACAAAGTACTGCTGTATTCCTCTTATGTACATGCAAGGTTTCCGTAGTAGGAATACAACTGTCGTTCAGTAAAAGTCATAATAATCAAATGGCAAACATTACCAAGGGAAAAATAAGGTGGCTTTCATATTTGTATTACACTACAAGTGCACTTGTCAATACAGAATATAGTCGCTCAACATTCTGAATCGGAGTAATAAAGATATTTTCTTTGGGTTAGCATGAATATAACAAAAGAAAAATTGATTATACTTTGGGCACTCTTAGTACAAATATTTCGATTGCAGTGACAATTCCATGAGTGCACAACGAATACCACGGAATATAGAACACTTTTCATTCAGATCTAGACAGCATTCTGTCTCATTCCTCCTATAGTGTGAAGGTTGTATAAGGTTGGAGTTTAGGGCTCACATGCTGCTAAATTTTCATTCATAAAAAAATTCTCCCCCAAAGCGTTGCTGGTAAATGAATAAACTTTAATTATTTTAATCATCAGACCACATTGTGGAACGTTGCAGTAATCAAAGAGTTCGCCAGGGTCCGTTGTTAGGCACCACGGTCTGGAGCCGGATTCTCCCGAGTTCCGGTGTCACAGCGATTTCGCCCTGCCCGGCCCCTCGGCCCCACTCTGGAGATTTCGCCCCCCACCGAAAAAGAAGGGACTTTGCCCCCCGGGGGCGATATCTCTAACGGTTTGGTCTCCCGATGGGCGAAATTTAAATCGCTGGAGATTTCGTCCGCCCGGGACAAACACGCTAGGGATTTTGCCCCCCCCCCCCCCCCACTCACACATCGCACCCCCTCCGCTCCGGGTCAAAATCTCTAGAGATTCGATCCGCCCCATGGACAAATCCGCGATGTATTGCACCTCTACTTACATTGAGATTTTGCACCCTTCCGAACAAAGATTTGAGTATTACCCTGAAGTTTTTTTACATCGCATTTTGATGTTACAAATGCAGGACGTTGTTACACAATTTGTCAATGTTATTTTGTTAATGTCCGTTTTTGCATTACCTGTTCATCTTAATAAGATAAGGTACCTGCGTATTGCCTGTAAGGTGTATTACCTGGGTCCTAGTAATATAAGACAGGGGGGAGAATCTCTAGCGATCTCGCCACGGGGCGAAAGGGGGGAGGGCAATAGAGGGGCTAGGGGGCTAGGTAGGGGGATTTGTCGGGGGGGGGTCCAAATCTCTAGCGATCTTGCACTCCAGGGGGGTTTAATCGTTATAGTGATCTCGCCTCAGGTAGGGGGGGGGGTCACTAAAGGGGGGCGAAATCACGGGGGGGGGGGAGACCGACAGTAGTCAAGAAGAAGTGGTCGTGAGGTTCTTGCATGTCCCAGCGTTGACAGGTTTTTCTGAAAAGCGTCGTGAAAACCGGCCCGAGTTACGATACCCCACGGTACACGGTACAGGAAATGTATGTAGTTAATATATGGTGTGTATAAATGTACTTGGGACTGAAATTAGAAAAATTACAAAACTAGCAAAACAGACACAAAATCATCCCAAGAACAACACTGTCATCTGTGTAATGCCCGAAAAACTCTAAAATTTTCCCCATTGATGAAAGCATTAAGCGACCTTTTTTTACCTGGCCAATACCATCCCTTCCCGTGGCGACCGCGTCATTTTCAATCGTGTGGCAAAATCGATTTATCATAAGAAACAGACCAGTTTGCCCTCCAATCGTTATTCTTGCAAACAATTGATGTCGGCACATTTCGCACAGTATATAAATACGTATGCTGATCTAAGTAAAATCGCATTTTTCAGGATTAATGTTTACACCATTTGCGCGTCATTTTCTTTTGCAGCTGTTCGCCTCAGTTACGTGCCCACGAACTATACACTGCAGGTACGGGTGCGATCGCCATTTTGATAATGCAACGATTAATGGATCAAGAAAGGCCGACCAGAGAAACATTTGACGGCTGAAAAATGTTTTGTTGTAATCGTGATCAATTATTGCCTCGCCCATTTTGATACTTTTTAATAATTCCACTTAATCACCCGCGAAAACGCCTTCCTATATGTAGATTCCAGAGCCAAGGTTGTCCTTGGTAAGCCACAAATTTTCTAACTTTCACAAGCAAAAATTGTAGCATCGTAATTTTCATTCGGCTAAGCGAGATTTGGGCGGGGCCAGCCGTGTCGGGAAGCTTGGGCAAAGGTTGACGTGGCTCACTCCTGCGTCACGTCATTCTCTGCCACAAGGCACCGACGAGTCTGTCAATATTGTAGCAAACACTCGCAGGGTGTTGCGTAAAATTAAGAAAAAATAATAACAAACTAGAAAGCCACAAGAGCAAATACAGCACATTTCACACATTTTTCCTCCCCATTCCAAATTTCCCCTAGAAGGGCCAACATTTGCTCAGGGCAGGGTAAATACAGCATGGCTTCACCACATCCCCCGTACCAATAATGGACCTGTCCCCGTCCCGCACAAATGGATTGTTCCTAAATCACCCCTGTTCAAAATGTGAACTGTTCCCACAGTTTATACCCTCATGCAGCAATGGAATCTTCCAACCCCTTCTGCTGTTGGAACATGTAGAACCCTGGTAGAATCCGAGCGTTCTATTTAGAAATGTCAGTTGGGGATTTGGGTCAAGCTACAATCGCTGTTTTTACTCAAAATAAGGTAAATAAAAGTATTTCAAAGGGTTGAATCTACTAAGCATTTGGTGCCAAGCTACCTTAATGCTGAATTTCGGGTCATTTGGCATTTGTATTAGCGCATATGAGCCCAAAATGTCATTTTTTGGTCAAAAATAGCAAAAATGTCCCAGTTTACATACTTTTATACGTGACACACGCCAAAAGCGTGAATAACGTTCTTTGGGATTGTATCAAAGGATCTCCTGTACCAAATTTTTGATATTAGGGCACAGGAGCCAAAAATATACATTTTTGACCGAAAATAGTCCAAAATTCCTATTTTACACAATTTTAAAGTGGCGTACGTCAAAAGCTTGAATGCCATTCTGTAGACATATGTCCAAGGTACCCCCATACTAAATTTCAGGTCATTTAAATTTAGTACCAGGGCTCCAGACCCCAAAATGTATATTTTTGCCTGAAAATGACCCAAAAACCGAAATAAAACAATTTTAGAGGCCTGTTTAAAAAAAATGAAAAAGAAACGTCCATGCCAAATTTCAGGTCATTCGGCTAAAAAAATGGCTGATTTGAATCCCTTTAAAGAAATGGCAGGAGGAGAAGGAGAAGCATGAGGGAAAACAATAAATTTCTCCCATACTATATATAGTATCGGTGAAATGTAAAAAAAATGGATTTATAGGGATTCGCCGGTACTCATGGCCTTATTGGTGATTAGAAAAAGTGAACAACACTCTTGTTCATTGCATAGCACTCAAATATAAAATGTTGCACTTTTCTGTCGACGAAGTGACAAAGTCGGCACAGCAAAGGAAGGGGGTTTGATTAAGCCTTCTGGTAATGGGAACCGCCGGCGGCACAGAATTTTCTCGCGCGTTACCGCCCACCAGCACCTACTCGCAACCCCTTTTTCTGCCAGCTGGGAACAAGTTGAAGAAATCGCCAGTGATGCTATATTTCGCGAGATAAATACCAGCACACGAACTGTAACTAACACGGTAACTTTCGCTGGCAGTTGACTTGTTTTGACCAAGTTTTGACGACACGGTAGTTTCTGGTCTTTCACGGTATGTTTAATAGCCTAGTGGAGCGCGCGTTTTTACGTTCAAAATTTTTACTCTTGTTTAGGTATATGGTTTAATTTCTTTTCATTTGGTCGAGATTGAGTTATATTTCGAACTGAACATTTTTTTTTGTTGTCACGGTAACTAACATTTCTTACGTAAATTCCGAAAGATCGGCTTGCGATTTACGGGAAAAACTCTGTCACCACGTTAAGCCTGCCATGCAGCCGGCTTTATTACTGCCATATATCGGGATGCTTGATGAATAATCAGTAAAGTACTAGCGAATATGCCGTGTACGCTGAAAATGAATATCTCATGACACTGGAAATGCTTACAGTCGCACTCTGAGCTGGATTTCAGCACGTGGCATACATGTGTGTAATGTCAGCTGTCATCAGGAATGTTTGTCAAGAATCAGATTAAAGTTCGCTATCTTGCAGACATCAGTATAGTTGAAGGTCTTTTCCTTGCTGCGCTGCCGTTGACGTCTTTTAGCATACAACCGGTATCTTAAACCGGTATCTTAAACCGGTATCTTAAAAATATGTCAAAATATCAATGCGAGAGGTTTGCTCAAGCAAAAAATACACGTGTACCAGCTGTCCTATTACTCACATGCACGGTCAACGTTCTGTCGAACTCACACCGACTGAAGTACTCGGGTAAAACTTTAATACTCAGGAATGTTGATCATAACAAAATAGACGTCTGGATTTTCTACTTACTGCTAGTTTTATACCACTCCTGCATGAAAAAAACATGCCACCCAAGTCTTTGGCATCCGTATCAGATATCAAACCAACGTAATCACACAGTTAACCTGGGAAATCACAATCCAAGCGGTTCATTATATATGTGGTTGTGGATGTACCATCAAACTACCCATTATTCATTAAGACTATTTTTTTATAGTCACAAGACGCGGTGACTCCACACCCAAGTTTTTTTAAATTCATTTTATGAACACAGAACACCAACACAGAGGACAATACAAAGCTCATTTTCACCTGAGTGAAGTGAGGAAAGTCCTGTATAGCACCTTTCCCAGTGGCACAAAATCGCTGGCATGGCAGGGTTCGAACTGAGGACCTCTTGGTTCTGAGTCGACCGTTACGCCACTCCACCGTTACGCTATACGACCCAAAATTAAGACTATTAAGATTATTAAATGACCCGTCTTAGAGGTGATTTGTTTGCTATATTAATGAGTCAATTGAACATAATTTGCATTAATTGTATATGGAAGAGTGTAAGGCTTAACCAAGTTATAAAGCTTGTCGTATTTCAAATTCCGACCATGATTTATCCGATATCCCAAATTTCATGTGGAAGTAACTTTATTATGATCCATCCGGGAGCTTTGTGAAAAAGTGCGGTGCTAGGGCAAAACTATTCGGAGGTGTTTCATTGTGTTTACACAAAGTCATATCACAGGATATTCCAAAGTTCAATGAGAGTTTATGTAAACAGGCTATTTTGGACGATGCTGATCACCGTTTAGAAAACTGTCAGCTACAGTAAGCTATTTTATGTTTGGCCAACATTCATAAGCGCCATTCCTTCCAAATCGTTCTGTGTAACATCAGCGTGATTAGTACAGAAGATTTTTATCCGATAGTCTATAGGCTGTCCGAAAGAGAACCATGTTCATGTGTCTCACCCTGGCCGTGTCCCTTCTATATCTGACCGCCACCCAAGCCTGGCTGTACGACGGGACGACTCCGATCGACTGTTTGGAAACATGGAGTGACTGGGAATGTGTTAGTTCTACATTTTGTTTTGTGAAGGATGATATCCAATTTCTGTATGTGCTTGAAAAACTGTACTTGACATGCCGTCACCCCAAAAAATAACGTTTATTTCCATTGCAGGGTCCTAATTTTAAGGAATTCCGAAGGGCCATCATTCATCGCCCCCCATCCGTCGATGGCGCTCCTTGTAGCAGTACGACATACGAGACAAGGGACATCAGTAAGCTTAAACATTAATGATTTTATAACTTTTCTATTGATACAAGGCACATTTACTTCAAATTATTGCCTGGATTCAATACAATACAATTAACAGTTGTAAATGGACAAGGCACTTTGGCCTTGGACAGTTGTAAAAAAAAAGCCACATACCTGTGAGATGTAAATGTATCTGATCGGCTATGTGGAGTTGTCACTACGAGAATTGACCATATGACGCGTGCACAGTGCCTTAGTACATTATACTATCATAACATGATGAATATATACATGTATATGATTATAGCTTAGAATGAAAGCCACAAACCATATACAGACATTGGATTGGATTGAATTGAATTGTAAAGTTGTTTATTCTCAACCACTTGTTTTAGATCTATACTTTTTGTCCAATAAATCAGTCAAACTTCATAATTCAATCATTCAACTTTACTCTTCACCAACCTAATTACATTATTTACGAACATATAAACATGCCTTAACTTGAACATTTCTGTATGCCATAGGTTGTGTCCCGACAATAGGCGAAATACGTCAGGCGATGGAGCGCTATTTCTTGACAAACAACGCTGGTTCGAACACGCGGGCAGGCGAAGAAGCTAAACCTCGCTCGCCTCGATCAGGCCTTGTGACAAATCGTGACCTTCTGATTATTTTTGATATGTCAGAAAGTAGTTCAAATGCTTTTGACATTGTAAAGAATGCTACTACAGAGCTTCTGTCTTTGCTTGGTCCTGAAGGACAGATAGGTAGTGGTATGCAAACTCAAGTTGCACTTTTGGCTGCCACTAGTTCTGTCAATTTACACTTTGTCTTCAATGGACATAATTCGCTGGCAGACTTACAAGCGGCTGTTCAGTATCTAGGCTACACAGGAGGGGCGAATCTTGGAAACGAGGTCCGGGCTATGGAGGTTGCACGAATACAAATGTTCAGCACCAACCCGGGTAAATGGTACGGCTTACGCCCAGACAGCAGGAAGGAGGTAGATAATGTGTTTCTGTTGTGTATGTGAAATCAATACAAATATGCGCTTAAGTTCATTATGATTACATTTCAATTATTGTTTGTAAATCATAATGTTACCGTATATTCATAAAGCCTAAGGTATTTGTTTAAACTGCATGTAATCAATAGCAAGTAGCTAAGTATAATATTATTCCAAAATCTCAAGCTGCTAATAAACTTGGTTTCATCATACGTATACACAGTCAGGTCAAGCTTGACAAAATTGCCCCTGAAAACGATTTTCCCCGCAATGATGGCCATCGAATCAAGTTACATCCATTCCATTCCATTCTCCCTTTGAAGCTACTTCTTATCACCGATGGACAACCTACGGGTGCCAGTGAAGTTGAGAGCGAAGCCCAACAATTAAAGAACATGGGGGTCGAGGTGTTTGCTTTCGGTAAATATTAAAACATATGATATCGAGAAATTAAACTTTTGAATTAATATGAGCTTTCTGGTGGGAAATTATATTTTGCATGCTATCCTGTTATAAAGTTTTATCAAACATAGATAAAGAAATAACAGTTGATTACTTTTAATTTTCCTTTATAGGAATCAACGAGAACGGTGACATCGACTATGATCACCTTGAGCGAGTTGCTAGCTCACCAGGATTTATGCATGACTTTCGCATCACTGATGCAAATGAGCTAACAGAGATCCTAGGCCAGATGCGGCATTAAACATCGATGCTGAGTATCTTCCTCAAAAGATCAATGCATTGATAGATGAATGAAAAATAAATGCACGGAAATGTAACTTTTGTTTCTTTTCCTTTTGGGAGTTGCTTTTTTAGTTGATAGGTTGTTTTGTCCGCAACAGCTGTCCGATAAAATGAATTAAACAAACAAAAGAAACCACCATATGAAGATAAGTAATTCCTCATGTCATTCACCACGACTACATTAACAAACGTGGAATTCAATATTTCCCATCTACTGTGTCGCCAAGAGCTTAACTTTACTCACACATAGGAAAAACGAACAATGCTCTACGGACAAGTCTCCATTTAACTTGGACAAGATGAATTAAAAAATCCATACTAATTTATTTAACTATTAATTTATTTCATTTTATTATGATTTGAACTAATTATATTTAATTATATTGACTATTTAAAATAGAAACTTAAAGGTTCTCATATGACAACTGCACACATCCGAACACGTGACATAATATCAGATGTTTTCAACACCCACCCTCTTTGTGGCTTCTCTGGGTTCCATGGCCACTCGCCAAGGTCGTACGCTTCAACAGTATGGAAAGAAATATGAAGTGTAACAGCTGTTATCATCTGGAGTGGTCAACCTGTCTTCTCGTGTTTCAATAGTGACACATGATGGTAGTCATTTCATATTTTAAAGTGCACCATCTTGATATCATAGTCTCATCACTCCTACATTACGTATCATATTTCGACGGTTTTATGCCGGGTTTGGAATACAATTTGATGTAGAAGCCCACCCCCACCACCATCACCCTCCCGCGAAAAATCAAGAGATTTCAGCCCCCGAAGCCGAGATCGCTAGCAATTTGGTCTCCCGATGGGCGAGATCGCTGAAGATTTGGGTCCCCCCCCCCCCCCGCCCCGGGACAGATACGCTAGTGATTTTGTGTCCCCTCATACATTGCATCCTCTCCGCTCCGGGTCGGGGGGTGGGGGGTTGGTGGGAAATCACTAAAGGGGGGCGAATATATGTGGAGGGTAAAACTAGAGTGTTTGTCTAGCGATCTCTTCCCTCGGGGGACGAAATCACGGGGGGGGGGGGCAGATCGCTGTGTTACCGGCTGAATATCCTTGAAGGTAATTGGAGTGGTGACAGAAACATGGGGCATGCGTAAATGTTTGAATTCAACCTCGTTTGTTTCCAGAGGCTATCCAGCTGTGTCAATATGCAATATCAATATCCATTTGCAAACAACGGGAAGTTGATTTACTTTTAATAGAAAAACAAACGTTTCTCCTACCGATTCAACATCTTATTGAAACATACTTCGTCCGGCGAATTTGGTTTAAAAGGAGTGCCGCGGTGTCCAAGCTTTACCTGCTACAGGAAGACTCAATCATGTTCATCTCACTCACCCTCACCATCACTCTCCTGACCGCCGCCCAGGCCTGGCTCTACGATGGCGCGACTCCCGTCGACTGTATCGAAGACTGGGGGCCATGGAGATGTGTAAGTTTGATGTAACAACTTTTGACTTCCTTTTACTAAGCAAAGGTTTGAATTTGCAGCTGTAACTCACGATCTGTTTGCTACCGTGATCGACAGGGACAAACTGTGTTTTCTACACAAAAATCTGCGTCGTCTACGATGTGACCCATAACTCACAAGTAGAGGACCGTTATTTTTTCACCAAAGTAGAATCCTACGAGTGTAACACACGACGCAGTTTTTTTCGTAGACGACACAGTTTTTTTGCCCTGGCCCGCAGTGCGTTCGCGGCATTGAGACGGGAATCCATTCCACGAATCGTTGTAATTATTGGGGGTGAATAGGTAATGTAATATATACAAATCATGGGAATCAAAATCATAATTTAGGAGCAACGTTTATAGCTCAACTGCATATCACGATAGGACATAGTGCATATGTCACAGAGAAAGGAATATGAATAGATACACAAATGTATCAATTATACAAATGAGGATCTTATTTGCGCAATTGATAGAAACTGTAGTTTCATTCTAGTGGCACTTGAGTGAAGTTGAAAAGTTGACATTTCAGATGAAACTCATTGAAATCAAGGTCTCATTTACATGTATGAGGAAATGCTGTTTCTTTACTAAGATAAGACTTTAATATTTTCAACATCTAGCCAAACATTTAATCTCACATGGCAAGGTTACTTCGTGGAGGATTGTGTCCTACAGATTCTTTTTTGTTTTGCTTTTGATACCAATATCATTATGATTTGCTGAGTTCTGCATCGTACCTGCCTTTCGGCGTAACGCACCAGCTTCGCAGGCATACGGCGCGGCGGCAGCTGGCTATATTACACCGATCGACTTGTTACACCTAACCCTTGAACTTCTAACTCTAGACATTGTTTAAAGCAATCTAATGACAATACCCCTACTGTACTTGGTGACAGTGAGTTCCACTCTGCGATAGTTCTAGGAAAGAATGAATTCTTGAGCATCTCAATGCTTGGTTGATAACTCTGGTATACCGGTACTTGAAGGCATGGCTATTTCTTGTTCTCTTCTGGGCTGGTATTAGGTACTTAGTAGTTGGGACGTCCACCATTAGTCATTTTCTACATCATGCATAGTCTGGACATCTTTCTTCTGTCTTCCAGTGAGGCCCACTGTAGGTTTCTTTTCATTTCCGTGACACTAGCACCTCTTTCATAGTTGTTCATACAGAATCTTGCAGCTTGATTCTGTACCCTTTCCAATTTGTCTTTGTCTTTCTTTGTATATGGGTTCAATACTGTCGCAGCATATTCTAGGTTCAGTCTTACAAGTGACGTGTATGCAAGTGATTTTACTCTAGTTGGACATGCCCGCAGATTATGTTTATCACTCCCAATGTCTGTTTCGCCTTAGTTGTGATATTACTAACATGTGCACTTCAGACCGCTTGTCAGCGTGACACGGATGGATTTTTGTGGTTGCTAAAGCCTGACCACAAAACTGGTAGCTAGTTGCATGTGGTGTTCGTTTGTTTGTTATGTGCATAATGTAGCATTTTTCGGGATTAAACTGCATGAGCCATTTGCTTTGCCATTCTTTCAGGGTGTTCAGGTCTTTTTGCAGAAGTTGTGAGTCGGTCTGTGTAGACAGCTCTATGGCAAATAACGGCAAATAACCTCACATTTGAGTCAAACTGATCTGGTAGGTCATTTTTGTTCAAGAGAAAGAGTAATGGTCCCAGGATGATTCCTTGCGGGACCCCAGACGCTACCTTAACTGGAGCCGACGCCTTCCCTTTAACCACTACTGTTTGCTCCCTGTTGGTCAGGAATTTTTAGGAGTGTTGGAAAATATATTGGTTAGTACAGGTGCGATTTCACTAGCTGTCAATTTAAGAAACCACGGTTGTATTTGGTCTGGTCCGGATGCTTTCGACGCATTAAGACCTTGAAGTATTTTTTCGACACCATCAGTAGAAACTTCTATATGTTCCATTGGAGGAGTACAGGGCTGACCTAGAGATGGCATATCTGTGGTGTCTTCCTCTGTGAAAACACTTTTGAACTGTGAACTGAGTACTTCTGCTTTGTAGGGTTATTACACAAAAGCATTGTCAAATGTGTGATTGCTTGTTCAATTGATTATGATATACATCCGACATCGTGGTAAAAGACCAATGACAAATATGTTTAAATGTTCTTTCAGGCCGGAAACAAAAAGCAGTACCGTGAAAACATCATCTTTCGCCATCCAACAGTCAACGGTGCCCCTTGTGTCAATGGACGAATCGAATTCAACGAGAATTGTGAGCTTGCAAAATACTGTTACATAAAATTAGATGCAACCTCATGATGATGTATAGATAGATAGATAGATAGATAGATAGATAGATAGATAGATAGATAGATAGATAGATAGATAGATAGATAGATAGATAGATAGATAGATAGATAGATAGATAGATAGATAGATATAGATATAGATACATATATAGTCCAATATATATTTCTGTCAAGTGCTATAATCGTCATGTTAAAAATAGTACCAGGGAATAACGGATACCATCTCTATATCATCTCTATAATATGGTGAAGGGTAGTGATAAACTATTAGAAACTATTTGTATCTCCCAGTCTATGTGGCAATCATATGGTTGTTTTATATGTTTTAGCTTGTGAACCGACTTTGGACGACAAGACAAGGTCAGTGGAAAAGTTTTGGCTCAACCACGACAACGGCTTTACAAGTGGCTCTAGATCAGGACGGGAGTCCGGTCTCAAAAGAGATATCCTTATCCTGCTGGACATGTCCGGAAGCATCAGCACAACAGCTTTTAATGAAGTTAAGGTTGATATTTCAAGGTTCATTGGGTTGATATGCCCTGCTGGTGATTTAGGCCGAGGTCGTACTAACCAGCTTGCATTGGTGGCATTCAGTGACCGAATTGTCAGGGTTTTCGATTTCAATGATCATTATAACTTAGCTGTCACGCAGAATGCCATTCGAAATTTTCAACGCCAAGGAACCAATACCCATACCAAACAGGCCCTTGAGTACGTCCGAAGGAATATGTTTGGAAGCCAAGGACTTGCATATAGAGGCTTGCGTCGAGACAGCAACCATGAGGTAACTCTTTCACATAACATTACATGAACCAATAGGACAAACCAAAATGTTCTAGTTTGATCCAACCTCAGACAAACCAGTGCATTCTTTTCAAAATCCTAGGAGGGATGTAAGCTTAAAAGATGTACGGATAAAACATTCGAAGAGTCTAAATTTCGGGTTCGCACACTACATTTATAAATTATACACTTTTTGTACTCTCTAGGAAGAACGAAATAAGCAGAACTATCGTCTGATTAGGCAAAATAATGTGAAACATTATGCGGGATATTCGAAATATGCTTTATAATAGACATTACCATTCAAACGTCCATGTGGAAAAAGCAATTTTCAGCAAGAAATGCCAATCATAAGGTGCATGGGTTTCACTGTGATACTTTTCTTAATGCCTTATAAAGGTAATTCTCATCACTGATGGACAGCCGACTGACGCTAGCGAGGTGGAGGTGGAACAAGAAGCTCAACGGTTGAAGAACATGGGGGTCGAGGTGTTTGGATTCGGTAAAATATATTGATTTTATAGCGATGTAGTGTAATTACCTTCGCCAAGAAGGTTATGTTTTCAGAGGCGATCGTGTATGTGTGTGTGTGTGTGTGTGTGTGTGTGTGTGTGTGTGTGTGTGTCTGCAAACACGATAACTTGAGAAGGCCTTGATGGATTGTCTTGATACTTCGTAGGTGGGTAGGTCTTGATGAGACCTGAAAATGATTAGATTTTGGACCCCTATCGTCTTGTTATTGTACTGCAGCTGAACTTCCGGTTTTGATATCTCATGATCTAGACATGCTAGGGTGATGACATTTGAATGATAGGTAGCACTTGTGTTGGGGAAGAAATGACGTGAGTTTGGGCCCCCTACCGGCTTGCTCTGGAACTGCAGGGTTATCTGTTTGAAAATATTCAAAAGAGGATCACTCAAGAACCGATTGACGGATCGTCGTGATTTTTGGTATGAAGGTAGCTTACGTGATGCTTGATATAAGCACGTAAGCTATCTATTGTCACATAATACGTGATATTATGTGACAATTATGCAAATATGGATGTAATTTGCATAATTTATGGGGAAATTCTATAAATCAGCTGCATTCCATGATAGGACTATTGAAGCTTGTGACATTGGTAATTGAGAACGAGGGAAACACAGGCAGATATATTGATTATGTGAATTGGGACTTGATTTGCAAAATTAATGAGAAAATGTTATAATTGTGTAATGATAACTGCCTAGAATTTCATACTTGTGGTATTTTAAAGTTCAGTGAAGTTGAACATCATTACACATGATGTATTCAAATCAGGACCTCAATTGCATTATTTATGAGGAAATGCTAGAATGGTATTGTTTGTTACTTTAAGACTGTCTTTTGGTAGAGAATATGATAAAATGATATGATTCATGAAAATAAGGATCTTATTTGAGGATCTTAAATCAGGGGGGAATAGTCTATAATTTGTCAGTAATAAATATTAACATCATTTGGCGAAGGTATGAGATCGGGGAACTCTAGTTGGTACATGCAAGCTAAATGCTGTCTGATCGACACCGCAGTGGATATATACTGCTCCAGAAAAATCTGCTTTGAGACTAATTATTTGTTTCTTGGAAAGGAGAATGAATTACCCATTATCGCAAGTAGCATATAATATCGACTACTGAATTGGCAGCCTTTGTCATCTTCATCAGCTTAAATTGCAGTGCTACTATGGCTCGTTTTACGTCATCTAAAGCTGTTTAAGGGCCCTCTGTCACGACAAAATGCTGTAGCCAAACTATTGTCAGACATGCTGACGCCTCTGCAACGAATTATTGTTTTCCCAAAACCTTTTTGTTCTTTGTTATAGGTATTGACGAAACTCAAGCAATCAACTTTGAACATCTTAACAAGGTGGTCAGTCCAAAGGATACCAGCCACGTCTTTCACATCAAAGGGGTTCAAGAGTTTACTGCAATAGTGGAAATAATTCGTGCACAGGCCGAGTCACCTCACAACACGGGTCAGTGTATAGATCTTGGTTATTACCCAGACCAATAGACGAAGCAACAGCCATGTCAAGAAATCGAAATGAAATAAAAGCATGTATAGAAATCACTTTCTGGACAATGAATTATTTTGTATTACTGACTGTGTCTGGTACTATAAATAGAATATATAAACTGCGTTTTTAACATACTTCATTTAAACACACAAGGTAGACTGGATATGTGTACATATGCAAGACTATATGAAACAAGTTTGAAGTGTAATTTCCAACACACAAAAATTGGACACACCCAAATGTTCGATTGTACAACTCCAGTCTTTGTCGAGGAATGAGCAAAGACTGGAGTTGTACAGTCGACGATTTAGGCGAGTCCATTTTTTCTGTTGGCCATTACAGTTCAAACTTGTTTCATAATGACTTCTGTCAACACAGATGAACTTTCAAAATACATGTCTATATCTTTGATTTTGAAAACATCAATTGTCCAAACTCACTCCAAAGTTGAGACTTGGATTCAAATATGTACATTGTATTCCTACAGATGTGTGACTGTAACATATATTCTTTTAAAAGATCAGATTGTATTACCAGGCGTTATCGTTGGGTCATTTGCAAGTCTTGCAAAATACTAATTGAGATTTGATATGTTTCTAAGATCGTGCGAATTTTGTAAATTTTGTATAACATCTCTGAAATTACCCCAGACACACAATAAAGAGAAATAGTTTTGAGCTGAAATCTGAAATTCCTGACTCTCCTAACTTCAAAACGGCTAGCCCCAACAAACTAAAAAAAGTTTTAAGCACTTGGATAGCCAGGAAAGAAACACAGCTGATTTCGAAAAACCTGCTATTCAAGCTCTTTCATAAACACATGATCAACAGACGTATTTCATACTTTGAACTGGAACGATTTTCCCGCCTCTCGTGATCATTATTGCCACCGGGGAAGAAGACATCCTTCCGCGGAAGAGCTTCATTTTTAGGCCGATGTTCGCAGCTTTGGGCTGTGTCGAATAAACTACTAGGAAGGCCTCTGGACACCCCCGTGCGGCTGGCAGTGGGTTAATTTTAAGATTTTGGTTGTTTTTTAGGAGTATGACGGGTTTTACCATTCTGACAAAGGGTACACAATAGGTGTGTCTGGCCCCGATAAACTAGGTAGTCATATATAGAACGCAGGCGTACGAAGGGGTCGCTGACTTGCTTGTTACCCAACAGCTGTTATCATTTGTCGGGCGTAAACTGCAGACTATGTGCCACAGACCACTATTTCCAGCCCCCATTGGAATATGTGGTGAACATCTAAGAACTGAGCTGGCGAAAATCCCCTACTTGAGTATTTAACTATTGCAAACTCAAATTGATAGGGTAATCCAACCTCCTTGAAGCTTGTATTCTTGTGGTTTAGTAGCATTTTTATTTCTGGCCAGATTTGTTTTTTAATTTGCCCGCGCACTAGTTTGGGGCCTTCAGAGGATGTCATCCATAAAATTAAGTCAGTGTGGCCTTACTACGGACTAATATGGTAGTAATATTCCGGATAAAGCAAAGAGTCAAAATAAGGACAGTCAGAGGGTTAACAATATGGGACAAAAAATGAGACAATAAAATGAGACAATGAGTCAATGAGACAAAAAGCAATTACGAAAACTCCGTAAATGTTTTTTATTTGTCTCATTGACTATGGAAATAAGGTCGTAATTAGCATAATCTAGTTTAATTTATTATTTTCTAAATTCAAATGACTATTTTTCGTATAAAATCTCCTTTGTCATACTTCATTTTAACATATCCTCAGTAATTATGCAAATTGGATCTACATCAACATAATATATGCATAGTGGTATTAACCTTTAAGTAATTTACACAGTCACAAGGTATAAAGTTACCATCATTCACCAGTAAGGAGTCACAAAATTTTCACATTAATTATGCAAATTAGGTCGTCATTTGCATAATTGGTATCTGTTGATGTTACGCCTGGCACAGATTAAATAGATTACATGTATAACAGTACTATTATATAAAACACTGTAATTATAGAATTGCTTCCTTCATTTGCATAATTTGCATATAATAATGTAGAACTCTCTCTCAGCTACCTACATACCAAAAATGATGAAAATACGTTGTTCCTATCTGGACTTCTTGGCTTTTAAAGATTTCGCCAGAAAGTCCCCTGCAGTTCCAGAACAAGTTGCTAGGAGGACCAAACCCACACCACTTATTCCTGACGGGAAAAGCTATCTGCCACTAAAAAATTAAGACCATAGCATGTTCAGGACAAAAGATACAAAAACCGGAAGTTCAGCTGCAGTACCAAGGTCAGCCAACAGAAGGCCAATATCTGACCTTGGCCTTTGTCTTCCCAAGACCTACCAACGTACCGAATATCATCACAATCCATGAAGGCGTTCTGAAGTTATGCTGACTACAAATGTACGGAAACACAAGCACACACACAGACACAGACACACAGACGCAACAAAAAAACAATACCTCCATTTTTCATGGAGGTAATCATGAGCAATTATCAGTTGTTTGGGGTAACAGTCGAACTAGGCGGAAAATATCTTTCCAGCCCTGATGACTTCAACAAGATTTCATCCTACACACGACCCATAAAAAACTTGAGGACACATGTCAGATCTACATAGTCACATCTACATAGTCAAAGGAATTAAAGACAAATGCCTTTTAAGCATTTAGTTCATTTCTCGAAACCCCAGAGCCATAAATCCTAAGCGTAGCACGCATTTAAAAATCTAAAAATTGTTTTTTTTTACACAAGACCAATAGTCTTCAAAGTTTGAGCTTATAATGCAGAGCAAAACTGACCGTTGTATCTTGAAATATATCATGATTTCATCTGTCATCATTCATAATCTAATTTCTTGTCTTCATTTCTAGAGGTTTTTGGGGACGTAAAAAATCGCCTGATTACTTTTTTGTCTAAATGCATTTTGTCAACTTCGTTACTAGAATTTCTCCAAGTGACATTTTTATTTAAGTTAGCGTTTGCAATACACCACAACCACGCACATCAATGAGAGCTCGCCATTGCTGACAAACTTACATGACAATAATTTTACAAATGTATATAAACATTAATATGTATTACAGAGGCATAACATAAAAACACACCAACGCAAATTGACAAGCGCTATATGTAACTTTGTCTCGGTAGAACGATGATATCAAAGATATTACTTATGTTAAGTAAGTAACCGATCCCGCGCCTTGCACACACAGCAATATCAAAACAACCACTAACGATTGGTGCCCTTCGCACGTATTTTTCACTGATTTAACTATGCATGACTGCGCCGAGTTTTAAGTTTCTTGCTACTGTCTTTGCTAGTTAAATCGGTGAATAAACGGACAGTCAATGCATACAGCTGTTATTTTCATGCAAAGTAAAGTTCTATACATTTACTGATCGTCTTGTCTAAAAACAGAATTTCACCAATAATATGGATGGCGCTCGTGCCCAGAGAAATGCGACCTTTACCAAGAAGTGACACAGCTACATACATAAGAACATAAAGCTTTATAAAACAGTAAAAAATGGGTCTCTGAGTGTTTAGTAGAAAACCGACGTGAGGAACACAACGCCAACATCACTGTCGTCTGCACTTCCTATGATTCTCGGCCTTTCAGTCAAAACATAACCGGATTGTGTTCAATACGACCCTCCTCACGTGTTTATTGTTTATTGTCAATTTGCACATAAAAAAGTAACAGTATAAAATGAAATTATATACAAGCAAATATATGCTGGAGAGCCCAAGAAACCTGAAGGTTTGTCTAGTGGACTCTCCCAAATCCTATTAATTTTACGATCTCTTATTTACATACATTTATTACATTTACATTTAACTTGCAATGTATTAAGGGACAAGCAAACAAATTAACTCAAAATAGTTACAAGATAATATAAAGTTAACACGGCGAATTAAATATCTAAACAATAACGTAAGACAATCAAGAACATATCATATTGAACAAAAAAAAATTTCCATTAGTCAAATCATAAGTTATTATGAGTAAGAACAACATAAGAAACCAATATTAACACAAAGAAAATAGCATAGCATAAGAAAACAAGGAAAACAAAAGCAAATCAGGAAGTCGTGAGACGAGAACTACTCACAATCGTAAATCACACCAAACGAAAGCTGAAATATTATAGAATTCAGTCCTTAATTCTGTCTATTTAATTTTATCACCAACTTTATTTTGAAGACAGAAAAGCTACAAAAACCTATGAGGTTAGGGCACCCCCGTTAGTCAACATGGATAAAACTCACGATCACAACACGAAGGTCACAATATTGTTTCAAAAAGTCCTTATTGAAACCCAACCTGCACTGATACACGATATACAGGTTTTAGAACTTTCAGAACTTTCTAGAAGATTTTTGTTCCATCTGCTGCTACTTAGTAAGAGTCAGAATGAATTCTGAATAGATTTGCCATTGTCCGAATTCAAAGATTTGTAGTTATACGTGTAGTTTCTTTATAACAAGATCAGCAATGCCAAATGCACTAGGTACTGAAGTATTATAGTAGCAGCCGGCACCAGCTTCCTACAATCTTACTCCATCTTGACAAGAGGTGCAAATGACCTGTCCATTGGCCTGTCACTGGTATTTGTAACGACAAAATTCAGTTCGATTGGACCTGGCGAGTTTCCGCGAAGGTCGGGGGTACTTTCTGCTGTGTTGTAGACGGAGACAGGTTTGTTGCGCCCCGTCTTTCTGAATTTGCAGCAATACACGCTGATCGCACAGACTGCTACTGCCGCGACGCCTCCAGCACAGAGAAGGGCAATGTAGAACGGGTGGTTGTACCACGGGTCCTCTGCAGATTCAACTGGAAAATAAAGTGAGAACATGATCAATACGTTGTTTACCGTGGTGTAGTTACCATGGATGCTGACCCTTGGTATAGTCATATTGCCGTTCAAATGTGTATCATGATACTAGTACTATCATTATTTTCCTAAGTGTTTTTTTAGCCTTTACGTTTCACATTCTAATCTCTGTTCTAAACTTCATTACTGATATGATAATGTTAAAGCTACATTGTGCAGAATTTCACCTGTTTTAATATATAAGCATCGTTGTTTTACACATTTTCTTGCTCTGTAAGCCTGCCTGGGTTCATAATGACATTTGGGGATTAAAAGATCAACGTCGTTACGCCGTAATTTGTAGCTTTCAGACTGCATCTCTTCAAATGTTGGACTAAAACACATCGTATAACGGTACCTTTTTCCTGGACTTGGAAGGATGACGGAATGACAGTCAGTGTCTGGTTCGTGCCGAGCATGTTGCCCCGGAGAGCCTGAGTAAACGCCGTGGTTATTCTGTCCTCGGGAATGGATTCTCTCGTCAGGTAGATATCGAAGATGACGATGACGCTTCCGTGTCTGAAGCGATTCACTTCACACCCCTTGTACATCCTTTGCAGTGGGCCCACCGAGAGACTCTCATCTATCTGTAACAGGAGAAACTAGAGTTCAACGACCTCATACCTTGAGTGATGTTAATCTTTATGACTAACAAAGTAAAAGATCATTCCTCATGATTATGCAAATAGGATCCTCATTTGCATGAATTATATCAGTTGATCATATTCTCCACCAAAAGACATCCTTATCTTAACAAAGAAAGCCATTCTATCATTTCCTCATAAATTACGCAAATGAAGTCTTCATTTAAATAAGTTATGTTTAATAATGTTCACTTTTACTTAACTTTCAAATACCCCAAGTTTCTCATTTTCTCATTGATTATGCAAATTAAGTGTTAAATTACATAATTAATATCTGACTGTGTTTCTCTTGTTCTCAATTACATATATCACATGCTTAAATAGTTCTATAATGTAATGCAGCTGATTCATAGAATGTCCTCATAAATTATGAAAATTACATCCAGATTTGCATAATTGTCGCATAATTATGTCAAGCTCCACTTAAGCTACCTACATACCAAAAATCATGACGATCCGTCAAGCGGTTCTTGAGTTATCCTCTTTTGAATATTTTTAAAGAAATGCCCCTGCAGTTCCAGGGCAAGCCGCTAGGGGCCCCAAACCTACGTCACTTCTTCCCCAGCACAAAAGCTGCCTACCGTCCAAATTTCGTTAGCATGTCCAGACCATGAGATATCAAAACCGGAAGTTCTGCTGCAGTACCACAACAAGCCGCTAGGGGGTCCAAAATCTAATCATTTTGAGGTCTCAAGACCTACCCACCTACCAAGTTTGAAGACAATCCATTTAAGCCTTCTTGAGTTATCGTGGTCACAGACAGACAGACAGACAGACACACGAACGCCTCTGAAAACATAACCTTCTTGGCGAAGGTAACTAGCAGTTAACATTTGAACAAATGAACAGCGATATCTAGCGACATTTAGCGAAATAGCACCAGGTTCACATATGAACAATGCTATCTAGCGACATTTAGTAAAATGGCATATCTGGCAGGCAGCATGACGGAATGGCCCATTGTTGCATGGTTTGTTGCATCGTTGCTCCAAAAGTTTAACTATCTCATGCTCATTGATGCGCAGAAATGAAAAAGTCAAATTACAAAACGGTTTGTAAGATCCATTTTGTATTCTTTATATATTTCTAAGATTCCACGTTGGAAATGTTTCTTGCACTGCCCTATATATACCTACCAGCGCTTAGTCCTTTTTGGCAAGCTTTCAAGCATACTTGGTAATATTGTTGATTTAAACACCCTTTCTGATAATTTTATACAATATTTAGTTCTTCGCGGTAGTTTGCTTTGTTCGTATGATACCAACTGCAAAATAATGTTAGCCGCACAAAATTATATATTAGAAACAAAAAGATTCTAACTGTATGTGTCTTCTGGGATGGGAGGTTTGTTACTCACGCGAGGTCTCATGTATTTTTAAATGTCTTGTAAAATATTTTTCTTTCATTGTAAAAGTGGCTGCGAGAATATAAGTTGTACCTAACTTGAGTTCGCAGTCACTTAGTCCATGTCTTTTCATTTGTAATCATCGTGTTTCTGATTTAAAAAAAAAATGTTTCTTACCACCGCTTCGACGACAGTGGCAGTCCTGTCGAACTCTGAAGAGTCAGTATCGGCCAGACCATAAATGAAGACGATTTCCTCTCCATTGACGTGGGTCACTGTCAGCTCAGCTTCGTAGGCATTCAATTCTGTCATGATAAAATGAGAAAAATGAATCAGATCTGTTGTCGTATCTCGAAATTTATACCAAATATATTATAATGTCATGTCTGGTCATTCATGTCATGTATATGTTCATCAAAGGAGGGTTAAATGATTGATATATATGACATAATATGTTCTTGCGGAGTCTTGCCCTTCAGAAACGAAGCCGAATGTTATGCCATAGCTAGATTTCATGCGTTACAGTATACAAACGTTATCTATCTACATTATTCTAGTACCATGCTCGTTCAGACAGTTCAGATAGTTGTTTCTGCCAGCTGATAAGTTTGAAAGAAGCCGGATGCACGTATGTGAGGCGTATCTAGAACAATTTTGCATTCAAATCTCCGAACAGCGGCGACCAATGCGGCCGGGCGCATCACACTGACTTAGACAATATTCATCAGACTTCGTGGTAGCCCATTCGCATTGCCTTCAATTATCCTATTCAATATCAATATTGAATGCGTAGAAAGATAGGGAACTTTTACCAGCAGAAAATTTGTCTGAATTCGAAACTATTACCAACCAAACAATTGGACTTGCCCGAAAAATGCGGCTTACTTCTGCACATGTTGTGTCCGGCAGACGCTGTACTGTAGTACCCCGACTTGCACTCGCAGGTGTAGCCGTCGTTATCCTCGACACATTTGGCATTTACGTCAGGACAGGAGCCGTCATCGCATTCAGTGTAGTGGTCTAACGAAAAAGACAAGGTTATGAGTTACACAGATCTTAGACAAAACATCGGACGAGTTCAAAACGAAGATGTGTTTGACGTGATATTATGATGTGCCAACATACCTATCTTCTACTTTCTTGCACAATTATAATCTACATACCTATCACACCAGACAGACTACTAAACTACACTTACCAAAATACAATACCTCAACTGGTCAGCGAGCCTTCGCTTACACGGGTGCAAAGTGCTACAATAGACTACCAGCTGAAGTAAGGCAGATTCAAACTTTAAAACACTTCAAGGCAGCTATAAAGACGACCTCTGACCTCCAATCATTTTGAACGGAAATCGATTTACGTTGATTATGATTTGAAGTTATGTTTTCTTGTAAATTCCCTTAGTTCATGTTGAACTTCGTATTATTCATTTATTTATTTATGTATAACTTTCAGTTATACTGATTTCATTTACATTTTTTGTTATGTACTTTGTATAATCTATTATTCTTTTACTTATTGTACCCCCCTGGGCCTCCTTGGAAATCAGCTATTGGCTGAAGGAGCTACCCAGGTGTCTTTGAAGATTAAATAAATATATGTGACACAATCACATCAGCGCACAATCACATCAGCCTTCATGGAATATCTCTCCGCCAGAAGGTTTTCCCTGATTCTCTCACGGCGTTCATGTTATAGTTCATGGCGTAGTTGGGTCAGCTCGTCGCTCTGAAAGCTGGCATTATTTTCGAGTTCATTGACCGTCCCTCGCAGTGTAGTAATTTCCGTAGATATGTCCATCACTTTCGCGTCTAGTTCCGACAACTTGCCACCCACAGTGCTGAATTCCGAAAGCACTGCTGCGTGTTGCTTGTTCGTGTGCGAGATAAACAGTTTCGCTAACGCACGTAGCTCAGGCGAGAAGCTCCCCAGACAACTATCGTCCCAACCACCTTCCGCCATCTTAGGTAGCTTGGGAGGGGGGCTCTTGCTCTGTCCTGGATTCTCCTTGCTAATTAATGTTTCTGGCCCTTTTGTCTCGCCGCTTCGACATCAAAGAACACCGTAGAGTTTCACCAACACCTTTTCAACAAATAGGGCAGCAAAAGTACCGAAGTAACGGGTTCCTTTCTCAGCACTCGGTATACAGAGGTGAGGAGGCTTCCGTCCTAGATCTCCAGTGCCGAAGTTACGTCAAGACTTGGTGCCCAGTGTCGGCGGCATCAGCACTGGAAACTCTAAATCGGCAAATCAAACCTTGTCTTTATATATTAGAAAGGGTACCGAGATGCCGCCTTTGAACTCTAACACTTATATTTTCGAGATCGTACCACCCGGGAAGCAAATTATAATCGGGGCGACAAGGTGATCGGCAGAACAATACTGCAAGGCTCAGATCCTCACATTTTTACAGACATAGACTTGGCCTACGATACTGTCCTGTACGCAGCGCGGCCGACGTAAGCACCAGAGGCCCAGTGCCGAAATGGTTTGAGAACTCGGCTCCCAGCGCCAAGAGTCACCGAGCACTGGAACGATCCAGTAAGGAACCAGTTACTTAGGGACTTCGGTACTTGCTATCCAGTGGTGAACGGCCTCCGAGCGCTGGCTATCCAGTGGTGAACGGCCTCCGAGCACTGGTAGCGAGTGCCGAGTGGAATTCAGCACTAGCTATCCAGTGGTGAACGGCCTCCGAGCGCTGGCTATCCAGCGTTAGGCGGCCAGTGAGGAACCCGTTACTTCGGTACCCTTGCAATAGGGCAAAACTGCGCAGCTCCCACGTAGGGTAAATTAGCGGAAAAGATCGAAAAAACTAGGAGCCACCACAATCGCGTGTTACCTGGGGGCCGCCATCTTGGAATCCAAGTATTTTAAAGTTAAAAATGTTTTCTTACTGTGACGCAGTGAGGATGATGAAAACTGCTACTAACGACAACATGGTCCGACTTCAATTTGCTTTCTTGATTTGCAGCAAGTCACTCGGAAGTAAAAACCGTTGAAATTTCGCTGTGAACTCGGCCGAGTGCGCTTTCCAGACTGCGCACCACAACTTCCACCGCACACACCCTGATACAATACCGGTGGGCGGGTTTGGGTGTTCACGCTGTTTGAGCTCCTTTTATTCTTCTAGTAACCATATACTATTGATGTAAACTGAGATGTCTGTTTTCAAGCCATGCTGGGTGGACAAGAAGTACAATACACTAGGCACGAGGAAATGGCGGTACACCTGCTGGTTTATACCCCCCAAGGGAGGAAATGAAATGTTATTTGTTCCATTAGTTACTTTGTATTCTTTCTCTGATATGTTGGGCAAACAGATCGTCAGAAGGCGTCAAACAATTTTATATTGTCAAGTATGCTATCTGGGAAATATACACCATGGCGTCGGGGTGACGTAGTGGTAGAGCGTTCGACTATGAAACGGTGAGACCCTGGTTCGATCCCGAGTCGTAGTAAAGTCAAGTCAAGTCAATCTTTATTGCACAACAATTATAACGGGTACAATGCATGTCAAACTCTTCAGTACTACATATCTAGCTAGCATCTACTCTCACGTCTACAGTATTACCTACAAGTTCTATGTATCGAAAATAACATTCTATAACAAAAGTTGATATAGTACATGTATATATATGGAACATGGCTGACATGATAATCGATGTACAAGTTTTTATATATGACTGTATGAACTAGAGTGTACATCGGTTGGTTGTGTCGGATATAATATGATTTCTTTTAACTAAAGCTTTGGATATATACTGGCCTATGTACAGGGAAGTTTCGTCGGAACATTGCATGAGAAGTGTAAAAGTATCTGAGGTTGTTTTAGGTAATGTTATATGTGCCTTGTTGGTGATCGCATTCATAAGTGTCCGGGACATGTTTGGACATGCGCCCCGACGTTGTGCCATTTTTCAGGTGCAGCGATGTTGTGGGTACTACGTGATCCCATCACCAACCAAACTTGACGTTGGTGTAGTATATAATTTTAGCCTTTTTTCCACTTGGATGAAATTACACCGGATTCTTATCGTAGTGGTTTGAGGTGAAAAACTTACTTGCATCTACTTCAACATACTGAAATTCTCAGTATGGGAAAGGAAATTACATTTATCTAGTAACGTTTATATATCCAGTTCTTTTCTTCACTTTGGTTACTCTCCAAGCAGAGGTTGTGGGGGAATGGTCGTCAGCTTTTTATATATGGCCGTTTTTTGTCGATAATCGGTGGCCGGCGACCTTCTCTGGCTAATGGATACTGCCTGGCCAATTTAATATTGTCGTTTAGATATGCAGGAGTATATTGTACTTTGGGACGTTTATCAATATAAGAAATCCTATTAAAACAATTATTTCATGTTAGTCATAACGTCCATATAACATGTATCAAAGACTTTTCATGATTATGTATAATGTTCAAAATGAATGTGTATTATGTCTAACTGTTATACACATCATCATCACAATGACGTATAATCGTGAAAAGGGATATGTACATGTATAATGGCCGGGAATAGAAAACCACAGACGTTGCATACGAGATCTGGCTCTGTGTAGACTTATTTCTTTACAATTTTCGTGCAACAAAGTTGTTCTTTCTTCAGAGTGGTGGGAATATATGAGACCTGATGAGACCTGGCAGATAGTCTCGCTCGGCAGGTTTGAGTTCACTACCCGGCTTGCTTATACAGTTTGCCGGGAAGTCTTCTCCCTGAAACGTACCCAAACGAAAAAAAAAACAACACTTCATCCGTCGTTTTCTAGTAGTGTTTGCGTCACGTCAAAGGGTCGTCACATCAAAGAATCATAACTTAGACAAACCTTCGATTATGAAACATAACGTTATCTGTTATTACCCTCTCACTATTACTAAGAAGCGAGAAGAAGTCGCGATCGAATTCACTTTTAGTTGCTTGACAATCTCACATGTAACGTTATCTGTATACCATTCTTCTGTTGTGACCTGTACTTAACCCAGTGGGTATGTGTGTACAATAAAGGTCTTCATTTATTCATTCATTTTTCTAACATCTCGACACTGTTGGTTTCTGGAGGCACGGTGGCAATCTCCACGCTCGGGTCGATTTCCGCGCTTCTTCGTGATTCTTCCTCGTTAAACTTCGTCCCGTGCTCGTTGATCGGCAGGGCCAGGTGCTGAAATTCAGTTAATCAGATTAAAGGTTCAAACTAGGGTCTATGTGGAATCACCCAATTCGGTTTACATGTGGTTTACCCCGAAGCCGGTTTCAAGTGGTTCCATGTGAACGCTCCAAAATCACATTGAAAGCGCCTCGATCCCAAGCCACTTCTAGAGGTGGTTTCGAGTCGGTTTCCCCGCATCGCGATTTGCGTCTGAACGCAATGTGATTTCAATGTAACTTCGCCTGGTCATGGATTACGGGGTGATATTTCTTTTTTTTATATGCAATACCAACTTTACGTGGCAGCAACTTAAAGAGCAGTAATGGTCAAATAATGTGTCCGTTCTAGGGCGAGCTTCACCGCCTCTGGCGTTGACCTCTGACATTAATAACACGCCACCTTGCGTGTTATCATCAAACAGCAATAAATGTAGCTCAAGCGTATTGTGTTCGGACACGGTTTCACAGGTGTGTGTGGCACGTGGACCAGATGTGAGGAATGTGAGTTACCCGAATCGCGGTTTGGGTGATTCAACATAGACACGGCCTAGGATAAGTACACTCAGATTACCTTTCACTAGGCATGGCACACCGTACCCGTTTCGGGATTGGAACGTGGGAGCGTGCGAGGCAGCAACGATCTTTAAAACGGCTCTAACATGTCGCCGTTGGCAAACTACCAACGAAATATTATTGTCCGTAATCTATGGGACTTTTTTTCTATCGTACTGTGGTAGTTTTATTTCAAAACACGCAATATGGGGAGGTAAAATTGTGGGAGGAATATACCTAATGACTGTCATAAAAATAGCATTTATTTAGCAAAAGGTAGCTATAATTAAGGGTTAATGACCAGCCCCCAGGTGAATATGGTGTGAGAAAGCCTTGTCAGTTGCTATAA